ACCAGGCCGCGTTACAACCCATGAAAGTCCTAACTGAAGCACATGTCAATTCAAAAGCGTGCTTCAACGAGATAGCGTTTAACTGCCTCCTAAGAGGTACGTCCCAATATCTGTGTTGGCATCATATGCTTGCATTATCTTTCATAAAAAAAGGAATTTAAAAATGTTTCTCTCTAACTAGTGACTCGTTCACAACAGAGTTGTGACGTCACTTCATTCAATTTTTTTTCTCAAACTTCAAGACTTACATATGTGTTGCATTAGAATTATCATTCTCATAATAAACATTCTTCTGCGTACAAAACAACTGATTGACATCAAGTAAGTTTACACAATGAACAATCGGTAAAGAACTCAATCTTGTCATATAAGAGAGGCTTGAATACCCTATTGAAGCAAGAGTCAGCTGCCACAAGAGAAGTGACTAATCCAGAGGCATGTTAAACCGGTGATTATATCAAGAGAAATCATCTTGTTACTTCACAGTCTGATTACCCTTCAGGGATGAAGTTAGCAGAGCCTGCCAATCTGAGGCAATCAAGTCGAGAGTCGATCTCTCCGAGTTCATCCAAATCTGGGGCATTCCCTCAAAGCTGTCAATCATAGGTTATCACGTCGATTAATCTCTTCAAGCTCGATCAATCAGAGGCTATCACATTGATGAATATCTTCACGTTGCCATCAATCAGAGGCTATCACATCGAAAGATCTATTCAGAATTCATTCAACCTGGGGCACTTACGTCGAGATTCGACAAATCTCTCCAAGAAAGCTGTAATCAAGAGAAGTTTATTTCCTGACTCAAGACATTGGGGCAGGCCACCTCATATCATATTGTGGCACAAATATTATGGTCTTATATTCAACATAGATCTTCTCAGAGATCCTCCGGACAGGGGCATTCCTCATCTGTACTTAGTTGCTCAAGTCAATTATGTTGTACAAGACTATGATCAAGTTAAAAGCACCATAACGGTCACCTTGACCTATCCGGCACACGAAGCTTCCTTCATCTGCTACAGACAACATCAGGTCTGATTCCCCAAGTGAATTCATAAAGTTCGGAATCATTGTTTGACTCGGCACGCGCAAGTGCATCCCCGGTGGAGTTAATCAAGAACATCCCCAATGGAGCTAAACTGGGGCATTCGCGGAGACAAACCGGGGCATTCGCAAAGCTCAACCGGGGCATTCGTAGAGCTAAACCGGGGCATTCGTAGAGCTAAACCGGGGCATTCGCAGAGTTCAACCGGGGCACTCGTAAGTGTCCACGCCCATCTCTTATCCCCTAGTGATTCAAGAGATAATTCCCCAGTGTGCGTAAACATGGGGCATGTATTCAGAGAGATTCACATGGTGTTTGACATCCATTATTCGGCATATTCAGTTATATCATCCTCTTCTTCAGTTTAGGATGTATGGGAGTCTGGCCAGATTATCTCTTCCCCAACGGTACGGTTCAGAATCCAGCATCGTACATAAAGAATCGCTTCGTCAGCAATTCAATCCTCAGTAGAGTCAACAACGATCTTTGGTCTTCAAGAGCTCCCTAGTGCAAATTTTTATCAGTATCCCCAACAACCTTTGATACTGCAGGCATTCCAATGTCGATATATATTGGCGTCCTCAGTGATGAACAATGGTTCCCATCAAGCCTTCTCTTATCCCCATGAAGTTTATTTCTTTGCATTGCATATAGTTATCACTTCATAACATTGCATCCTCAAAAGCGCGCAGCCGATCCATCAGAATGGATCTTTGCGGCAAAAGAAATTCGAACATGCATATGAAGCATAAGCCAGATCAGGTACCTTACACAAAAGACCTGAATTATTCAGGGACAACAATACATCCCTACAGAAGGGTATCATCCCCAGAATCCCCGGTCGATGACCTTCACCTTTTCGATACCCAACAAAATCGATACACTTTGTCATTTTAAACCCAGTTCTTGTGTGGTAGTCAGTTCCCTAAACACTCGTCTGTTCCCATTCCTAAACAATCATCTGTGTTAGTCTCTCAAACACTTGTCCGTGTTTACCTTTTGATACTCGTCCGTATCTTCTTTCAATACTCGTCCATATTGATTCAAACACTCGTCCGTGTTTACCTTTTGATACCCTTCTGTATCTCCTTTCAATACTCGTCCGTATTGATTCAAACACTCATCCGTGTTTAACTTTTTGATACTCACCTGTATCTTCTTTCAATACTCGTCCGTATTGATTCAAACACTCGTTCGTGTTTAACCTTTTGACACTCGCCTGTATCTTCTTTCAATACTCGTCCGTATTGATTCAAACACTCGTCCGTGTTTAACCTTTTGATACTCTTTCGTATCTTCTCTCAATACTCGTCCGTATTGAATCAAACACTCGTCCGTGTTTAACCTTTTGATACTCGTCCGTATCTTCCTTCAATACTCGTCCGTATTGAATCAAACACTCGTCCGTGTTTAAAATTTTGATACTCACCTGTATCTTCTTTCAATACTCGTCCGTATTGATTCAAACACTCATCCGTGTTTAACCTTTCTTGATGCTCGTCTGTGTCGCTTATCTAAACAATCGTTATGTCGTAACCCATGTTCCCTTCTTAGAACCTGAGATCGCCCGTAGGCTAGGTCCTCCCTTAGATCATCTTCGAACCTGAGATCGCCCGTAGGTTAGGTTCTTCCCATAGATCATCGTCGAACCTGAGATCGCCCGTAGGCTAGGTTCTTCCCGTAGATCGTCTTAGAACCTGAGATCGCCCGTAGGATAGGGTCTTCCATAGATCACCGTCAAACCTGAGATCTCCCGTAGGCTAAGTTCTTCCTTAGATCATCTTAGAACCTGAGATCGCCCGTAGTCTAGGTTCTTCCATAGATCACCATCAAACCTAAGATCGCCCGTAGGTTAGGTTCTTCCTTATATCATCTTAGAACTTGAGATCGCCCGTAGGCTAGGTTCTTCAATAGATCACCGTCGAACCTGAGATCGCCCGTAGGCTAGGTTCTTCCTTAGATCATCTTAGAACTTGAGATCTCCTGTAGGCTAGGTTCTTCCATATATCATCGTCGAACCTGAGATCGCCCGTAGGCTAGGTTCTACCCATAGATCATCGTCGAACCTGAGATCGCTCGTAGGCTAGGTTCTTCCCATAGATCATCGTTGAACCTGAGATTGCACGTAGGCTAGGTTCTTCCCATAGATCATCATCGAACCTGAGATCGCCCGTAGGCTAGGTTCTTCCCATAGATCATCGTTGAACCTGAGATCGCCCGTAGGCTAGGTTCTTCCCATAGAGCATCGCCGAACCTGAGATCGCCTCTTCTCTAGGTTCTTCCTATAGATCATCGTCGAACCTGAGATCGCCTCTTGCCTAGGTTCTTCCCATAGATCACCGTCGAACCTGAGATTTCTTCTTTGCTAGGTTCCTCCTTAGATCACCTTCTTAGAACCTGAGATCGCCTCTTGGATAGGTTCTTCCTAATACTGTCACCGTCGAACCTGAGATCGCCTCTTGGCTAGGTTCTTCCCTCAAATCATCGTCTAACCTGAGATCGCCTCTTGGCTAGGTTCTTTCCATATATTTTGTCTTCGAACCTGAGATCGCCCTTAGGCTAGGTTCTCTGTCAAATCACTCTCATGTGTCACCTTAGGATCGTAGCTCGCCCATAGACCTCGTCTGCTGTCTTTTCATACCGTCCACTGTCTTTTCATACCAACCATTTGTCTTGTATCGGCATCACTCCATGTTACAAGTCCAATCTCCGTCTCTTCATTGAAAAAACAAAAAACAATTCTTTCCCCCAGCAGATATCATAAAATAAATAAATAAAAAATATTCACTTTCTCCCAGGACAAATTTTTGGCATTGATATTTAATCATCTTCAACCTTGAACTCCCGAAAGGCACGCGCCAATCGTACTTTCAAGTTTAAGACGATTAAATAGGGGCAGCTGTAATACCCCAAATTTTTGCTACCCTTTTACTTTTATCTGGTTTATGCATTGTCACATTTCTCTCATGAACATAACTCCATTTGGTCATTTAACATTGCATACATTCATTAACAACATAATTTTTACATAAGATCGGTGATATTATGGAACTAGGGTTATTGTACGGCTTTAAGGCTCTCATATTCGCACAAGATTGTTTCGGTTGATTTCTCCATCAATCATTTGTTGGAAGCTAGGGTTTTATTTCCTGGACTTCTTTATCGTCAAACTACAGGGGTATTATTTCTTCTCGAAATCAAGTTGAAATCTTTCTTCAAGGCTTAAGAATTAGGATTTTCGTCTGTTAATATTCAACTGAGGATCCTTGGATTATTCCCATATTCCCATATTCATTCTCCATATTTCATCAAGGCTTTGTTGTTGTGTTAAGACCACTGTTGAACCATGATACAAGGTGTTGAGTTTGAAAGTCCATTGTGCTAAGGATGTCATTATTTCAAATGCTTGTTGCTTGACACACAAGTTTCGTTTATATTGAGGAATTGAATTGAATTAGGGATTCATTGAAGTTGTAATTTGATTGGAACTCGTTCATTAAGATTTGAAGAGGATTTGGAGTGAATAAAAGTTCTTAAATATTTGTGTGGGATTTTTTAGAATAAAAAGGCATGTTTCAAACTCACTTGTTTCATCCAACAATCAAAGTGTCATCCAAATAGTCATTCAAGAACTAATTAAAGATTCAAGTCTCTTCGTGATTACCTCGCAAAAAGTTTGGATTCGTGCCATGATTATTTGAATTCATACAAAGGCGTCTAAAGGAAATATTGAAGGGAAAGGAATTTGGAAGTTCAAAATCAATTTGAAAGTTCAAGGTTACAAATGAATTACATCATCCAGTTTTCAAGTTACAATTAATTAAGGCTTCCATTTGTTCAAGTTCCAAAATACATTACATGTCCTAAGCCTAATCTTCTAAATCAATGCAAATCCAAACAAATGGTGCATAAACCCAAAATAGTTCCAACATCAACATCAGCTCCATCATTGTACTCAATGTTGCACTACATTAACAAGAACAGATCCAATCAACATCAAACCATCCACCTGCCGACTGAACTGGGCACCATCCCAGGCCTGCATCAAACACTAACCAGTTACAAGTTTGCTTCAAGCCAATCCTGCATCAATATATTTGAAAACAAATCGTCCAAGTTATAATCCTACACAATATTCACGACAAAAAAATCAGAAAGGGAAGAAGGCAATCATATAAGAGAAGACTGTACTGTAACCAAACAAACTGAATACAAACAGAATAACTAACTTCTATAACAGAAAACCATAACAGAATTCACAAACACATGACCACTTCCTAACAACACTGTAACCAACTTTCCAATTCCTACAGATCTAACAACATATGCATAACAGAATCTCATTACTACCTAACCACCTAACCAGATTCATAACTAACTCAACAAACTTCTTTCACAGAATTCTATAAACTCCTTAACCTTCTAACAACCTATAACCATTCTAACTAACTTACAGCAACATAACCTGTAACCGAATAACAAACTCCTAACAACTTCTCAACTATTTTAGAACAGGAAAAATGATATAAGGAACTAGCAGCAACCCATAACAAAAAAATCAGAACTAACCCTCAACTGTCAAAAAACAGTCCCTAATAGAAAACTAACACCATAACAGAACTTCAGTTACAACTAACTTATTCAGATTCAGAGAGCATGATTCAGAGATCATTGTTCAGATTCATATACCAATATTCACGATTTTATTCAAGACAGAAAAAAAACCCAAGAAATCTCCAGAGGAAATTCTCTCTCTCTAAACTTCTATTCATCTCCCCCAATCATCTCCTTTTATACTCCATAATCACTGTTCAACCTTCTCTTGTCCCTTCTCATCTTCATCTCCGTGACTAAACTACAACACCTGAACCATCCTTATCATCACCCTTGCACCTTCAATTTTCATCAGAAGAACACTTTTACCTTCACTATGTATCATCTTCTTGAATTCAAAAGGCTACAGGATTCACAACAGAAGAGATCAGTACAGAAAACAGGGATTCATACATGAGAAAAATTCTAACACGATTCAGCAGAGAAAACTCACCCAAAAAAATCGATAACTCTTCTCTTCTCTCTGACCCATCTCCACAACTTCAATCTCTATGAAAATCAGCGTCAACCTTCACCTTCAATCGTCCATTTCCACCTTAATCAGCAATTTGCAGTCTTCGCTTGATTCTTCATCATTATCAGTGATACATCCTCCAATACGTATCAGCTCACAACAGCAACTACAATTCTTTATCTCCGTCTTCAACAACACAACACAGAACACAACAATCCAACACAACATTGATGCAACGAAAAAGCACAAATCAGAATAAGCAAAAAAGAAGCAGAAGAAGGGTTCGTGATGTAGAGGTTTTGACGAGAGTTTGAGAAAAGCAAAGTGGAGTTACAATAGGGCGTGAGAGGAAGACCGTCAAGGTGAATCGACGACGCTATGGCATTTGTTGAACGAAGATAAAAATGAAGGCTTTATCCTTGACGATTCTCAAACGTTGAGGGGAAATCGACCAGATATGAAACAAAGATGACAATAGCCACGATGGAAATCTATCGGAGATGAAGAAATGATGAAAACCACAGCGGAGGTTATTGCAAAGAAGACGAGGAGAATGACACCGTCATGAATTAAAGAAGTAGCAAGGAAATCGATGTTCCGTTTAGGGAATGAAGAAAAGGATGAATCACATTTCTCAAAGAATATGAAAGGACGTTCACTTTTGAACCCTATCAACACTGAAAAAATGGTATCGTTTCGCCAGATTCAACATGCATCCTTTTATTTACTTGTTTTGTTTTTAAGAAATGCTGAAAAACGAAGAAAAAATATGAATACAATGGCTATGGAGTGGGCTTCTTATTCCTTAGATCGGGTTACATCTTGGCTAGGCCCGTTTGTCTTTTATTTTTTACATTGGGAAACCTTACACACACGAAAAAACTCCTCTTAGACTCAATATGGACGGGCCTAGTGTCTGGACCCTCTGGTCACACCCCTAGATTTGATCCTTACACCACCTTGTTCTTTGTAATTTTCACTTTAATTTCTTAATTTTTGCAATTAATTATTGATGATTCATTCATGATTTTTTGCTGAAATTTGGTGTGGATATTAATATGTTGATTTCTGACTTGTTGATATTTTTCTAATAATTTTTTCCTATTAGCGTATTAATTAATTGAATTAGTGTTTAGTACATGATTAGAATTAAGATTTTAACGCGTTCTTGTCGATTTTTTATCCATGATTCAATTTCCTTAGCATGATGAGTGGTTTAGAGGTAGGTTCTGATCCTTGAATAATGCCATGTTATTTTTGACATGTTTGTTCATTGTGCAAGGTACGTTCTTTTTGCTTTCGATTATGTAACATAACAAGTAGTTAGGCGATCAAAGGATACGACTTATGCTCCCATCTGATGCAACACGCTTTATTTCTCATTGTCCTAAGAAATTCATATCATGTTATATGTTGACCTGATGCATGTGATATTTTATGAAACTTTGTGCAGGAGATTCTGATTACGTGTTGCATTCGCAACACGCGTTTGCCTTTATCTTAGTCTGATATTATGGATGACTCTGTTTGTTTCTTGGTGAAGCTTGCTCGATGCGTACTCCCTGCTGTTTCAGTGCTTGTGTCTGCTTTTGACGACTTGCTCACTTTGGTAGCCTCCGTTGCTACTCTTGTACCTCATTTCGCACTTTATCGCAAACCATATGCATGCTAACATTAGGTAGATTTTTCCCTTTCTTTCATCCAAACTGTAGGTCTAACAACGCATGATAAAATTAGGTTTAGAAATAGACTAGTCTCCCTATGACTTTTCTTTCCCTTTTTTGCATTCACACTAAAACTAAAACTTCTTTTTCTTTCAAAATTCAAAACACTTTAAAACTACCGATGAGAATCATGCCTTTGCTTAGTATGGGAAATGATAATCGAGTCTCTTCTCGATCTTATTGTTCCTCATCTCAAGTTTAGCTGCGGTTCAATTCTCAAAGACTCCTTTCATGGCTAAGTAGAAAAGCGACTAATATCTCTCTCTTGAGGTCAACTAGTCATCATCTGCAACAAAATGGAAACCAACTCAAACCATTTGTGCGCTCGAGCACCTTTTTTTAAAAACCCTTTTCAGGTAAGGACATGATTAATTTACTTCTGTTCCAATGCATAAGTCTCCAAAGGTCGAGCTGCGGCAGAAGGCGGAATTAACTTCGACCACAAAAAACACAAACAAACAAAAACATATAAGCCGAACTATGGTAGCTCTGATTCCTCAAAACGGATACGTAGGCATTGGGTTAGGGCCCAAGCGAGCACAATTTTATTTTCCCTACATTCTTTTCTCCTTTCCTTTTGCATGCATTCTCCCTTTAGCAGTAGTAAACAATAAGCGTAGATTAAATACACCCATAAGATAGATAACAAGAGTGGATACCATAGAGTACTACGGGTGTGTGGAGTGCTAATACCTTCCCCTCGCGTAACAGACTCCCTTACCCGATCTCTCGGTCGCAAGACCGTGACTTCTCCCTTCTCAGGTTTTCTCGATGTTTACCTTTCCCTACATGTGGGATAAAAGATGTTTGATGGCGACTTTATTGTTTGATGATTTTCAGCCGGTTGTTTCAGCAGCATGACGAGTCTGGTCGAAAAGAGCACGCCATTTATTACCTTAGCAAAAAGTTTACCGACTGTGAGACACGATATTCATTGCTTGAGAAAACTTGTTGCGCTTTGGCATAGGCTGATCGCCAGCTGAGACAGTATATGCTGACTCATACTACCTTGTTGATATCAAAGATGGATTCGATCAAGTATATTTTCGAGAAACCCGCTCTCTCCGGAAGGATAGCAAGGTGGCAAATGATCTTGACCGAATACGTCATACAATATACAACCAAAAAAGCAATAAAGGGGAGTGTATTGGATGATCATTTGACTCATCAGGCCGTGGTTGATTACTAGTCCATGAATTTTGAGTTCCCATATGAGAATATCATGTTGGTGACTGACTACGAAGAACCTGGACTGAACGAAGGACCTGAGGAAGGATCCCGAAGGTCTATGTATTTTGATGGAGCCTCGAACGCACTGGGTAACGACATTGGCGCTGTAATTATAAATCCTGAGGGCTATCATACTCCGTTCACCTCCCGATTATGTTTCAACTGCACCAACAACATGGTGGAGTATGAAGCATGTATTATGGGTCTTCGAGCTGCTATTGACCTGGGGATTAAGTTCTTAAGTGTATTCGGGGATTCCGCTCTGGTGATAAGTCATATCAAAGGCGAGTGGGATACGAAGCACCCAAATCTCATTCCTTACGGAGAGTATGTACTGACATTGCTCCCACACTTTGAGGAGATAACCTTTGAACATTTCCCACGAGAATAGAACTTGTTGGCAGACGCGCTAGCTACCATGTCTTCTATGTTCAAATTTAGGTGGGACAATGAAGCTCCCCATATTACCATTGATAGGTTGGATGAACCAGCACACTACTGTGAGATCGACACCGAAGAAGTGACAGACAAACCCTGGTTTCACGAAGTCAAAAGGTATCTCAAGTTCAGGAGCATCCCGAAGGGGCATCTCTCAACGATAAGAAGTTTCTGAGAAGGTTCGCTGCAAAGTTCTTCCTCGGTAATGGAATCCTGTATAAACGCATCCATGACTCCACACTACTACGGTGTGTAGACAAGAGCTAAGCAGAGAGGATCATGATGGATCTACATGAAGGTACCTTCGGAACCCATTCCAGTGGACACACCATGGCCAAAAAGATCCTGCAGGCAGGATATTACTGGTCCACTATGGAAGCTGATTGTTATCAGCACTCTCGAACTTGTCATAAATGCCAAATTTATGTTGATAAGGTGCATGTACCACCAATTCCTCTGAACGTCTTAACAGCTCCTTGGCCCTTTGCAATGTGGGGCATCGACATGATCGGCGAGATCAGACCTGCTGCATCTAACGGGCATTGTTTCATCTTGGTAGCCATTGATTACTTCACGAAGTGGGTTGAGGCAGCCTCTTTTGCCACTATAACCAAGAACATCGTGGAACGATTTATCCGACATAATCTGATATGTCGATATGGTGTACCAGAGAGGGTTATTACTGACAATGGTAAAAATCTCAATAACACTATAATCACCAAGCTCTATAAATAGTTCAAGATACAACATCATAACTCTTCTCCCTACCGGCCGAAGATGAATAGGGATGATGGTGACATATAAAGACTGGCACGAGATGTTATCATTCGCTCTTCATGGGTACCGTACCTCAACACGGACGTCGAAAGTGGAAACACCATACTCTCTTGTATATGGCATGGAGGCAGTCCTACCCATAGAAGTCCAGATACCTTCTCTCAGAATTATGAAGGATGCAGGTATGAACAATGACGACTGGATCCAAACCCGACTTGATCAGCTAAATCTAATCGATGAAAAGAGGCTTACTGCTATCTTCTATGGTCAGATGTACCAAAAGCGAATGATCAAGGCTTTTAACAAGAAATTCAGATGTCAAGAGTATCAGGTTGGGGATCTGGTGATCAAGTGCATCATACTACCACAAGGTGATCCCAGGGGAAAATGGACTCCTACGTACGAAGGGCCATTTATGGTTAAGAACATTTTCTCTGGAGGAGCTATGATTCTAACCACCATGGACGGTGACGACCTTCCTCACCCCGTCAATGCAGACATAGTGAAAAGATACTATGCATAATCAAAGACCCTCTAGGTCGATTTTCCTAGGCAAAAATAAGGGCTTCCCGGCAAACCAAAAGGGTTCGGGAAAAAGTAAGGGATGAAAGTGAAAAAAATATGTACACCCGGCAAGTCGAAAACTCGAAAGGGCGACTTGGGCAAAAAAGTGTATCCCAGTGGACTGAAAACCTGAAAGGGCGGTCCAGGAAAAAGTTAGGGATTGAAGCATATTACTATGTCTCATTGGATCATCTTGCGACCAGACTTCGGTATCGATTGTTAAGCTCGGACGGCGCCAATCAATCTGATCAACCATCCGCCAAGTAGAAAAGTGATGAGACGCTT